AAATTTTCGGGCATTTCACACTGAAACCGAGACGTTCTATACCAAAGTGTACAAGTAAACACAAAATTGTCCAAATATAGACAGCATGTGAATGGGCACGGAAAGCAGGAATTACTTACTTGAGATACTTGTCAGGAAGGAACTCATCTATTTGCACTGAGAGCATCCCACTCAAGGTTCTTTGTTTGATTCCTGCTAGGTAATCGTACTTGAAAGCCTTATTCTGCCTCTCAACGCCATTGTTGGTTTTGATAGTTGTTAGGAAGCGGTCTTTTCTGAACGCCCATACCCATTTCTATAAAAGAATTAAAAATTAGCTTTTCCAGCAAGAAATTCAAGAAAATATGATGTTAAGTATGCATATACTTTATGTTGAGGCAGCCATGTCTTTGTGGTATAGTTACTTAAGTTGGTATTTGTCCTCCATTCTTCGCTATCCTGGAGATCGCTCAATCTATGCCGATACTCTTCTTCCGTGCGGGTCTTAGCTATCGCTCGCAGCTTTGCAAGGACTTTTTGTTTTTCGTTCAATAGGCCATTGCTGGACTTTGAAAGCCACCTTTCCCATGCCTGCTCACGATGAAAGTCACAGATGTAGATCGCACTCTCTATTTTGTCATTGGAAAAAAAAGGATAAAATGAATGAAGTTACTTTGCATGAAACAATCAAACTAGCACCAGCTTAACATTCGTTGACGAATGTTAATAATTATTTAGAGGGAGAAACAGTAACAAAATACTCTTCCACCTGTCGAGAATTTTATTGTAAACGCGATCATGGGAGTTGATTTTTGTCGTGTACTTTGTTTGTTTCAGAATCAAGACGTTAATTAGACGTATTAGATTTTAGAAGATGGTGACTGTGCTCGCATCTTTCTTTTATAAAACCATAAATGGTCATAAATTACGAATCCATAGATATCTATTTTCGCAGTGTGACACTGCTCTAAGAAAGAATCTTAATACCTGGAAATAACTTGCCAATTGCAGACATCTCTTCTGAGAAATCCAACATAAAATATGAGGGGTTCCAGGTGGGGTTCCAAGACTTAATTATCGAGAGGGCTTCATAAATGGAATCTGACGTTTCGCTTTGGATGACGAAAGAGCCTACAATTTGATAATCGACGTTGGTCTTCACAACTACAAAGAAAATAGGGAGGCTGTACTTCGTGGTCTTATAAGTAGCGTCTAGCATACTTATTTCATTTCCATAGCGTTCTAAAAGCCGTCGTTGATCTTTCATCTGGTGTGCAAATAGGAACCCTTTAGTTGGCGTCTTCAATATGATATCTTCATCATCCTCCTCACCATCGCTACGACTGCTATCATCATCATCCCCATTTCGTTCCTCTCCCTCTTCGTTGTAAGTTACATAGGGCTGGAACTCAAAATAATCCTCAGGAGAAATCTCCCTCCAAAGCTTCACCTTTTCCTGAAGATCCTCCTGGTCAATTTTCGAGAACCTTTCTTTGACTAAGGATTTGTACATGTGACTTCTAATCGTAACTTTGGAGGGATAAAAGCGTATGTTGGTCTTTAATGGCGCTTTTTTCCCTCGATATAATTCTCTTTGCACAAAGATCTTTAAATGTCGGCGTATCTCTTTCTCTGATCTTGCTCCTGCACATACGAGTTCTTGTATTTTTGCCACGAGCCTCTCATCTATGCGCTGAAACAGACCTCCTGCCTAAATTCAAAATTAATAAAGAAATGAATGAATCAGAAATCAAGCGTAAAAAAAGTAAATAATGAGATTAAGAAAATCGAAAAATAATTCTTACGTACACGACTAAATGCGGTTTTTGACCCACTCATTTCTATGAGAAGGACCAGTTACGTAGCCCGCAACAAAAACTGTGACAACGGTAACTGGGTATTTAATTGTAAGAGCTTACTTCTCCAGTTGGGTGCACGGTGTGTTCATCGACTGAGCGAAAATGGATGTTAATCCACCTTTCAGTTTTTGCCGTTCCAGCATCTATGACGTAGCGTAGCTTTTTGGAATGACTCTTACAGCGCCACTCCGTCTTTTGCGAGATCTAGAGGTCAAAAGGAGGAACACAAATTGATGTTTTTGTGATGTCATTTATAGGTCGGCGTTTTCCTGGTTTTAATTACATTTTGCAATTTCTTTATTCCGACTTACCTTGTACTCCGGAAATTTGATGATTTCTCTCATGTGCGCTTGAGCGGGACAGTTGAGTTTTCTTGATTCTTGTAAAAGCTTACCAGCTCCATTTGTTCGATAGGCGTGGTCACCGGCCTATGTTTTTGGAAAAAAGAAGTCTTCTTGTAAATGAAAAATTTTGAAGCAGCGATATAACACCACGTTTCCACTGAAAGTTTCTTCCATGTTGGACATTGAAATATCCTATCCTATCGAGTCCTCTTTTCAGATCATTTACTCTCTTATCTTTAAGCAAGGAGGAGGAAACTCAAGGCTACTTGATCTTGACCTTTAGTTATTAATCAACGCAAAATAAAAAATCTGCAAAATCATTTAAATACAAATACTTTCAACGTACCGCTTGGTTTTTCCTTTTCTCGCTTAGATGTCTATCTACACCATGTTGACAATCTTATACCTTGTGATTTACCACGACAAATGGGACGTGATCAAATGGCAGACGACTATCCTCCCATAATACCTTGTGTTTTTTAGCTGCCAAGTGTATGTTACAAAACCAATTTTTTACAAATTTGAGAAGCATAGTCAACTTGTCACCCTTCCTTTAGACGATAATGTGTCAAAAAGGATCATGACATCGATAATGATACCTAGTTACCTGTCACTTACGAGCATGCATAGGGCCCGTCAAATAAGTGAGATATCGTTCTTACAGTCAACTCTCATCTACCGCTCACCATCCCCCCTAAGTGCCTTTAGATCAAATCCCCCTACTTTATTCAAATGTCTACCAAGAAACATCAAGCCCGGTATATTACATGACGGAAAAAATGCAATCGCATATGACAAGAAGATTGGCCTCTCACCTGTGTTTCCAAAACCTTTGTCAGTTGACTTGCTACAACAGTATTTGGTGACGGTGACTTCATATTCTCGAAGAATGAACTCTGCTGACCTGACATCCTTCACCAGACCTGACCTTTCAGACAACTTTCTCTCAAACAATGAACTCACTTCTTGAGAAGTTAATTTACGTGCCATCATAGAATTGGAAATTTTTTTCCGAAAGCGAAATTATCGATTGGAATACGGCCGAACGCTGAATACGAATTGAGTGAGCAAACAGATACTTTGATATCTCGCACGATAACAAATTTCCCGCCTTTGCGAGTTTGCACCATTCAATTGTCTGGGAGTTAATCGACCGTATCATTTATCTTTCCTCTCCATTTCCGGTGTTTTAAAATCCTTCTTTTGACAGATTTCATGGAGGTGTTACTATGTTGTAGTTGTAATCGGCCATCCTTGAAAAGGAGGCATCGCAAAAATTTTGTGGAGTCTGTAATAAAGGTAAGCAACGAAAAAAAAAAAAGCAATATCTTACGAGCTTATGAGCTTACGAGCGAAACGAAGCACGTGTTCGTTTCTACTCTGTTTTGCGGGTCTAATTTGCTAAATAGGGCCTTCATCACGAAGACAACATCGGGCGAGCTCGGATTTCGTAATCGGAAATCTACCCGAGATGACCTCCTTCTGACGGATGTCGGAGTGTGCTTTCCCTCATACACCTACACGTTATGGATATATTAAACCGCCATCTTGAATGATGTCATGTTCGATGACGTCACCGCTGCCATCTGGAATCCTCCCTAAGGGACTTAGACGCCATCTTGAATCCTTTGTTCTTTATGCTAATTGATGGGGGCATCCCTTTGTTTCCTATGGAGACGCCGTATACTACTATGGAAACACGCGAGGATTTTGATGTGGCTGCGATATGTGATCCATGCCTCGGAGCCATAGAGGAGAGTAGTGAGTGCAACAGCTCTGTAAACGCTGATCTGGTCTTTCTTTTCAAGCTCTTTTTGTTCCACACATTCTCGTAGAGTCTACCAAAGGTAGTGTTCGCCTTTGCGAGTCTGTTGTCAATTTCCTTGTCGATCATGGCATCGGATGAGATGGTGCAGCTCAGGAAGGTGAATTGCTGAACTGATTTCAGCTCTGTGTCGCCGAAGGTGATAGTGGGCGGGTGGTATTCTTCCTGGGTGGTGGTATTCTTCTTGAGGCTAACCTCAAGGCCAAAGAGCTGAGCAGCATCTGCAAAGGAGGTTTTGATTTGCTACAGAGCTCGTTCTGTGTGGGCAACAAGGGCAGCGTCATCTGGGGTCTGCCTTTCCTGGGTCTTGGTGTGGGCGTGCGGGCGCCATAGATTGAACAGACTGCTGTCCAGGTGGTACTGACGTAGACGCAATCCTCATCATCCAGGTCTTGAGTGGCGTGCTTAAGCATCATGCTGAAAAAGATGTTGAAGAGGGTTGGCGCCGGGACACAACCCTGCTTCACGCCATTGGATATGAGTAAGGGCTCTGACGGGTCTTTGTGGAGTCTGATTTAGCTGCGTTGGTCTTCGTGCAGTTGAAGCACCATGTTGGGGAATTTTCCGGGACAGCCAAGACACCTAAGAATCCGCCATGGACCTTTCCTGCTGACTGTGTCAGGGCAACAAATGTTGCATACAGACCCTTGTTTTGTTCACGGCACTTCTTCTGGAGTTGACGGAGAATGAACACCATGTCCATTGTGCCTCTGTTGGCTCTGAAGCCACATTGATTCTATGGGAGATGTTCTTCGACGATGGATGGTACAAGCCTGTTGAGCAGTATTCTGGCAAGGACTTTACCAGCAAAGGACAGAAGGGTGATCCCCCAATAGTTGGAACAGTCAGATCTTTCTCCCTTGTTCTTGCACAGGGTGATGAGGACTGTGTCTCGAAGATCTTGCAGTAGCTTGCCCTGTTCCCAGCAGTAGATGAGGAGTTCATGGAGCTTGCGGTGTAGTGAAGGACCTCCATGCCTCCAGATCTCGGGTGGAATTCCATTTTAACTTCCTTTAAACAAAATATACCAGCAGACCCAAAAAAGGCGTCTTTAAACGAGGGATAGTTTGAGTTTAAAAGCTCGTGTTTGTATTTCCGATTGATATAAAAGGTGTTTTGAAAACGCTCTAAAAACTGCTGTTGGATTTACCCCAATTATTTTTCGACCAATGTTTAGTCAAATTGATTATGTTTTCCTGGAGTGTAGTTTCGTGGAGTTAAGTGATGTACCAAGGTGCTTTTTTTGTCCCTGAATTCAGCCTTCTTTCTTCAGCGTTAAGAGAGTTTGGTTGCTAACTAAAAAGGGAGTGCAAATCTGGCCAATGCATATCAGCTGAGGAAAATGCAAAAAAAACTTGTTGGGGCCTCTTTATAAGCAATTATTGCCTTCAAGTCCTCTCTTACTTTATGCCAATATGCAGAACTTCCTGTTATATTACCTAAATACCTTCAAAGTTTTGACATAAATATATAAAAACAATCGGTATCAACCATATCGCTCAATTCATCAGGGGTAAGATGAGACTCTCCAGGATTTTGCCTAAGAAAAACAATACTTTGCTGTAGAATTCTCTGTCTCTATCATATTTGAGGCCCAAAACTTAGGATGAGTAGCAAACCTTTAAACCCACTTATTATCAATATATTGAGCAAACTTTGTAAGTTATTGCACTCTACCAGGCAAAGGGACATCTCTCAATAAAGTTGAGTTTGTTTGGATCACCCTTACCATCTGGAAATAGTGTAGGAATCCATAGTAGCAAGAAATGGTGTTGTGTATCTCTAGGTACATTTCCTATGGATGGCCAATCTAATTTATTTTGAAAGGTCAATTGTTTTTTAATAGGATCTTGCTCTAACTCTACATTCTCAGGCTGAGGCAGAAGACTACTGGTTTCAGTATATTCATTAAATACTTGTTCATCAGCATCATTTCCATCAAGTTCTTCGTAAAAGTTTCAGGAACTATTTCACCCTCAACTGTTTGCAAATTTGAAGGAACACCATTTAATGGCAGTGCTTGTAATGAATCTACAGCAATTCTAGTTCTTTGACTCGCTAGATATTGGGACACGGTACTCTTAGAAGATCACGTTATCGTAGCAGTACGAAATAACGTTTCATATTTCTTGATCGTCTTCTCCTGCCCATTGACATTGTTACTTGAAAGTTTTCAGCATAAACTGCTCGAAAGAAATGAATCAATGTAGAGAGTCCAAGGCTTTCGAATATACTCACAGGTTAATGACAGATCATTGCACTTTGTAATAAAATAAGCTGTAGCACTTTGTAACTAAACTTAGTAGATGATCGGATGGCATCGGAAAAGTTGCTCTTTGGAATGCTAAAAAAAATGGAAAAAATTTTCAAACCTAAATTTCAAAACTTGCTACATAAATTGTTCGATATTTTTATGTTAACGTTTATATAACGCTTCATTTTTCGTCCTTCACAATAACTTCTAACATCGTTCAAAAAAATAGCTTGAATTGCTCGCATATATATGGCTGAAATTCAAGGAGAGTTAAGGTAAGGTAAAGTAACGTCGTTCTTTAAAGAGGGTAAACACGTGACAGTTATAATAAAACCGATGAACTTGTTGCCCTCTACAAAACATAAAATCAAAAGCCACGAATTTTTCACAAGTATATGACAATTTTTCATTGTATATATATTGTAACTCGTGGACACGGGGTTGGGAATCCTTCTGCGATAGAGGGCCAGACCACTAACATTTTGACTTCGCGAACGGGACTTTGTGCGCGATGCTCAACGAGTTCGCTTACGATAGACCTCCTTAGTACATGCTAAAATATTTAAGAAAAGAGAACCTAATAACATAATCTTAAAAGTTTATATAAAGTATGAAATATAGATCATCTAATAAATAATTATTAATAAATAATCAAATTTAAATATTAATCTAATAAATAATCAAATTTAAATATTAATCTAATAAATAAGTAATTAATTAAAAAAATAATCACTTTCAATAGTATATAAAATCTTCGGTTCTCCTATTTAAATTATTGCATTGTCCCTTTATGTAACTCATAGTTTCCATCAATCTTGATTTCTTTTTTAGAGCTAATTTAAAAGAATTCATATTTTCTGCATTTCTTATGTCTCTGTCCAGATTATTCCAGGTAACTGGACCTCTGAAGATAAGGATTGTTGCGGCAAACGAACATCAAGACCGTATGAAGAGCCAAGAAAATCGCGACCGGAGAAAATACCAACCAAACCAGGGGATACGTTACAGAGACATAGCTTTAACCAATCTCGTAAACTGGAGGGGAATTAAAAAAAGAGACTTATATAATCGATTGTATTAAATTAAACACGTGGCGACTTAACAGCGTAAATGAATCTCACATAATAAAGGAACTAATAAATGAACCAAATGCCACGGCAAACACAAAATATATATATACAAAATAAAGACGAAAGAGCTTGCTTGAAACGAGATGAAGGAAAATTATAACTAAAAATAGCCGCCTAACGATTCGAAGGCGGTGACTAAATAACACACACAAAGGCATAAGATCATAGCAAGAGAAACGCTACCTTGCATAAATGGGGCAAGCTACAAAAGTGAAAACAAGCGAATACAACTTACATATCAGTCCCTATACGCCGGTGGCTTGAAACCAAACTTAAGAAATTAACTTGGGATTAACGCCGAACATGAATAGTGAAAAGGCGTACGATGCAACAACTGAAAATCAGCGGGAGAGAAAGACTATCCGAAGGAATCAAATGGCACAAAGGCCAACTGTTACACAAATGTCACGCAAGTCTAAAGTCACGCATTTACAAGGATTGTCTACCAAACTCTGAAGTTGTTGTTTTCATTTCGATTAGTTTGCCTTTTCTTAGAGAGTTTACTTGTTTGAACATATGAGATAATCTGAGACATCCATCAGAGTTCATAATTTGAAACATTTCTAAAGCAAGTCTCTTTATAGATATTGCGAATGTTCTGCCAATATACCTTCTTTGTTACATCATGATCTTCTAAAGAAGAAGGGAGTCTGTGGATTAATCTCGCAGCTTTTACATGCAATGCTTCAATGGTTTCAGAAGCAGAGGTTGAACAGTTTCTCCATACAGATATACAGTAATTAATGTGTGGTATAATCAACTTAAAATAGATACTTTCCAATTCCTTAGTTGACAGATAGGATATTCTTTTAAGAGACTTTAACTGTGCATTAAATGATTAAGTTACCTCTTTGATATGTATTTTCTAAGTCAGTTTGTTGTCAATATATATTCCAAGTACTTTTACTTTATCCGTATACTCTAGACATTTGTTTCCCCATTTGACAGGTTTCAATGGGCCAGTGAAGCTCTTTCTTGAGATTAGCATGACTTCGCATTTAGTTGGATGAATTGTGAGGTTGTTTCTATTACACTATTTGCTAATTTCTGAGAATATAATGTTAAGTAGAGTTACTACCTCATCTTCATTCTTGCCAATAACGAATGCTGTCGTGTCATCAGCATAGAGGTGGATTTCACCATTTGATATACAGTCAGGTAAGTCATTTACTAAGATCGGAAATAGCTTTGATCCCAAGAGGGATCCCTGAGGGACACCATAGGGCACTATTTGAAGGCCAGATCTTTTCCCATTTACTACAACAAATTGTTTCGATCAACGAGGTAACTTTGAATCCAGTCTTTCAATTTACCATGTGAACCGCGAGCATCCATCTTATGACTCTAAATTGAATGATCCATTGAGTCAAATGCTTTCCTAAAGTCGATAAGAACTGTACAAACCACATTTCTTTTATCCAGATTTCTTTTCCACATCTTTGTAATATATAGCAATAGGGAGTTTGTGGAGAAACCTTTTCTGAAACCCCACTGATTTCTTTGTATTACTTTGTCTAGATGATCATCGATGCTATCACAAATAACTGATTCTGTCATCTTACTTGGGATACATTCCATTTCTTGTGTGCTCAAGAGCCTCAAGATAATGCATGGATTCAGCTTTCTTTAGTGTTCTGTGTACTTCATTTCTAAGATCTCTGTACAACTTCCAGTCCAGGAGAATTTGTAGTTTGAGCTTTGCGGAGTTGTTTATATCGTTTATTCATAAGTTTTCTTATTTCCCCATTTATCCATGGAAGAGAAGTAATTCTTACTTTTGCTTTCCTTTTCTTCAAGTGATCATTCGCAATTTCATTGTACATGTATTGTAATAACCAGTAGTTATCGTCTACCTCATCGAAGGTATTACGCACATGCCAGGGTACTTGAGACAAGGATTCTTTGAAGCTCTCAATATTGATGTTTTTCCAGTCTGTCACTTCTCTTATCACTGGAGGAGGTTTCTGGTGAAATAATCTTAGGACTGCTTATTTAATCTGTGATCAGCAATTCCAATATCAAAAACTCCAGCAGTTTTGATTTGACATTTCTTGCTTGTGATAGATAGGTCAATAGTACTTCTAGAAGTTTCAGTTACTCTTGTATAGTCTTTGATGACATTTGATAGCCCATGCTTTCTCAAGATTTGCTTTAGTTTGCTTCCATTTTCAGATGGTTTTGATGAAACATCAGAGTTTAAATCACCTATTATGAAGATGTTATTCCTTCTCCTTGATATATGTTGTAGCTGCTTATCAAGTTTTTCAAGCTTTTCGTAAAAAGACAGATCTTTTGGCGGTCTATACATTAATTTAATGCTAATGCAAGGTGTTGTGAGTGGAAGTTGATGTCTGCCCAAATAGTTTCGGTGTCGTCCTTTTCTGGGGCAAATGTAGGGCTTACATCCAAGCATATGTTATCTTTATAATACAACAAACAGCCACCACCACCATCTTCCGTTTTTCTATCCATTCTTATGAAATTATATCCATTTATATCAAGCTCTTGATCCAAGATTTTACTTGTTAAGTTACTTTCAGTAAGGCCGAGACGAAACGCCACGTCATACCAGCCACGAATTTTTCACAAGTATTTGACAATTTTTCAAAATCAAAATTGATATTTAAATAATTCTACACTTTCATGATAGAAGGATAAAAATTATTAATAGACAATTTAAGAAGCAAGCAAAAATAGTCACAAGCTGTTTTGGAGACTCGATATAACTGTTTAAAAGATATTCAAAATTTCCTATCTCTCTTTGCTGAGCGATTAAATTTCGTATACAATTTCTTTTAGAAGATTTAACATTTTTCATTTTCTTTATGTCAAAAGACAGTTCGTTCCAATTTCTAATAGTTTGTACGCTCAAAGACCGGCCTCCTTCTGTATTTTTCTTAAAAACAGGGCAATGAAAAGGAAAAGGAAACTCTGAGGTCTAACGATTAGCCGATTATTCGTTACAATATTAGACAAGGATCGCAATGGGTCAGCAAAACGTTACCAAGTGACAGGTTATGTGTTCGAAAGGTCGATAAAAATTCAAGAAATTCGCATAAATTGGAGTTTTCTGACACAGCGGTAAAATGAGTGCGCATGCTCGGCGGATTTCGCGCTTTCAAGGAACGATTAGTGATTCCGGCGTGGGTGAAGTTTGCTGAAGAACGAACAGAACATGGTTTTACACTTTTTGGGACTGATATTGATGTGATCCGACTGGAAAAATTTTTAATGGAGTTTGTTCTTATGGAAAAGTCTGATGGGTAAGTAGAATTATTGTAGACATAGTTCAACTAAAGCTGATATAAATTTATCCAGACAGTTCGTTGCGTGTTCCCGTTCCTTTCAGCAATTTTATTTACAAAACGCATTTCATCAACGGTATTTGTTCAGTACATGCTTTCAACTTGAAAACCTGTTTGATGTAAACTCTTGTGGTAGTGAAAGCTGTTTTACAATCGAAATTAGTCTTGAATATGTCGGTCGTTTTGCTTAAGTGACCGTTCTTTTGATCGACACAAGCTCAATTGCTTCCCCCAACACACCGTAAATGTAATAGATGCAATAACATTTGTACTTGACACATATCTTAACCTTCTTTGCGTCTTGAAATATGTCGATATAACTTTTCGATCAACTGCCGTTGTTTGACGTTTACATGCATCTCTTACCACACAGTGTTACCTGAAGTTGATGAAAGTAACCGTACACAAATTCACCGTCGCAGATAGCTTTGACTTCAGCCATTTTTATAGTTCTTCAATGTCACTGCGTTGAGACTGTGCAAGTAAGGTGCCTTTTGGTAAGTGGAGGTGGCTATCCATTAAGATGATGTTGTCATTTGCACACTTGCCTATGAAATCGTTAAACCATTAACCCTTTAACTCATAAGATCTCATTGTTAATTCTCCTTACAGTCTGCCATATAGTTCTTGTGATGTTAGTTTGGAGAATTTGGTATTGGGTCAACCGATAATCCCCTAATTAAGATTTTCTTTATTCTCATCACTTGTCTGCTTGATATTGTACTAATATTGTAAGGAGAAATTCTTTCTTGGTCACGTATGGGAGTTAAAGGGTTAATTATTGTAAAAGCAGCATTTGTGTTGGTAAGTTTTTTACTAGGTGGAAACGCAGAGCAGATTCCTCACTTGAATTAGTCTCCTTGACAAAACAAACAGTTAACTCCTCTTCATGACATAAACTACCCAGGCTGCCTCTGACAAGAGGTATGGCTTCAACAACACCAAGATATGACAGTGACTGCATGAAACTGTCATATACCTGACTTCTCCCCATCAAACATGACATCTAGCTGGGAGTCAGTGGTTGGTGGTTTTTCAGTTGAAGGAAGGATTTGTTTGTTAAGTATGTCTTTGCTAACAACAAAGAAATAACTGTACAAGCATTGCTGCCTTGACGACTCCCAATTGTTGACTGAGATAGGAAGGCTGGCAGTTCCCAGAATGTGACTGATTG